CCTCTAGTTTCAATCTCCATCTTACAAGTTTCGAATTAGGTTCCTTTAAGCTAAACAACCATTTTAAGGGTTTGTGATCAGAAATTATGTTAAAATGTACTCCATAAAGGTATGGTTTAAAATGTTTGACAGCCCAAACTATTGCTAAGAGCTCTTTTTCAATTGTGCTATAGTTTATTTCTGCTGGGTTAAGTGTACGTGACGCGTAAGCAATCGGTAAATCTTGTCCAATTTTGCCTTGGCTTAAAACCGCGTCAACAGCAAAATTCGATGCGTCGGTTGTTAGATTGAATGGTTTTTCAAAATCAGGGTATTATGGGTCGTTACATAAAATATTTTTACACAATTCAAAAGTTTCTAAAAATTCTGGAGTGTGTTCTATTTTTTCTCCTTTTTTCAAACATTTGGTAAAGGGTTTTGTTAGCTTTGCAAAATTTTTTATGAACTTGCGGTAATATCCGAGTAGCCCTAAGAAGGATTTAATTTCCTTAGCTGTTCTCGGTATAGGGAATTTTTTTATTGCTTCTATCTTTTTAGGGTTAGGCTTTACTCCTTCGGGAGTTATTACATGACCGAGGAACTCTACTTCTTTTCGTAGGAATTCCGACTTATCTAATTGAATTTTTAAATTGGTTTCTCTTAAACGTTGAAACACTATTTTCAGGTTAGCTATATGTTCTTCGAGACTTGAACTGAACAATATTATGTCGTCCATGTAAACGAAACACATTTTATCCTGCAAGTCTCTCAAAACATTATCCATCACTCTTTGGAAGGTGGCCGGAGCATTACGGAGTCCGAATGGCATGCATACGCAGGAACTCATAATGCCCGTTTTCTACATTAAAAGCGGTTTTAGATATTGAATTTTCATGCATCTGAATTTGGTGAAACCCAGATGCTAGATCTAGCGTGCTAAAATACTGACATCTACCCAGCTTGTCTAATATGTCTGATATATTAGGAAGCGGGTATTTATCTTCTAAGGTTTTATCGTTTACTTGTCGATAGTCGACGATTATTCGATATTTTTGTTTATTGCTGGCATCAGCACGTTTCGGAACTACCCAAATAGGGCTGCTCCAGGGTGATGGACTGGGTCTAATAATACCATTTTCAAGCATTTTTGAAATTTGATTTTTAACTTCTTGTTTATATACGAATGCATATCTGTAAGTTTTTGCGTGTACCGGTGTTTCGTCAACTGTCTTTATTTCATGTTTTATCTCATTTGTGAAAGTTAAATTATTTTTTGAAAAATATCTTTATATTGTCTGCAAAGTTGTAAGATAGCCCTTTTTTCCTCTACGTTTAAATGATCTGTTCTAATTAAATTTTCTATTTTCTCGTTTAAGCATTTTGCTTCCGTACTATTTAAAAAATCTTCTACATGATAAAATTCAAAATTTTGTTTATGAAAGCTGTTTAAAGGTATCACTTGCAAAGGTTCTTTCAACTCTACTTCTACGCGTTTATCAGTGTTATTAATAATCTCGGTTTTTGCAAAACCGTGTTCTACAACTGTTAATGTTTCTGGAAGATAAAGAGTATCAAGTTGCATTGCCGGCACGATAACTTCTCCGGAATAATAATTTACAGGAACTTTGATTGCGGCAATTTCATGGGAATCAACTGATATATTAAAACGTTTTCTATTTAAATTATAAAATATGGGAATTTGCGTATTTTTATTTTTTAAGATATTATTTTCAAAGTCTAGGCATAATTTAAGATTTTTTATTACAATTAAACCAATAAGTCCGTCGAAGTGATTATGAAATTGGAATAATATGAATGGTATTGTAGAAGATGATTTTAATTCTGTAAATGTCAGTATGTCAGCTTTAAATTTTGCTTCCTTTTGACCTACGACTGTTTTTATAAATGTCGTTTCATGATAAATAGTATCAGGAAAGTACGTTTCGGCGATACCTGGATTTAATATTGATTGCATGCTACCGGAGTCCACCAAAAGTTTTAACGGAGGATTTTCAATTTTAATAAAAGTTAATTCAGAAGTATTTATGTCTAAAAATATTTCATTTATTACGTGTTTAGCTGATTCTGGCCTAGTATCCAAAAATTTTCGTCATTAGAAGCAACGTCATTCAAGTCGTAACTTTCTTGGTTATTATTTTCTGTATTAACTTTAGTTTCAATTTGGTGTAATTCTTGAGAATTAAAATTTCGGGGACCGTTTGGTTTAAAATAATTGTTACGTGATTGATTGTTTCTAAAAGTATTTCTTGAAGTTGTTGACATAGGTTCAGGGTCATTTTGAGGAATTCTTCCTGTGGGTGCAAATGCGTTTTTAGGTGGTCCAAATACTTGTCTGTTCGTTGGGAATGGTCTATTAATGTGTCGTGGTTGAACTTGGATAGGTTGTCTCGGAAATTGATTAAAATTTTGGTTTTGATTTGCATTAAAAGATGGGGGAATTTGATGTTGGGGGTTTGTATGAAAATTTCGTTCAGGTACTGGTAAATTAAAGGTTGAGTATTGTGGGTTAGCTGTATAATCCATGTTTTGATAATTATTATTAGGCGTTGCATAAGTTTTGACGTTATGTTGATTTTTTGCATTATGATTATTAAATTGTTTTTGGTATGTTAGGTTTTGTGTAGAATTGTTTTGAGTTTTAATATTATTTTGAGCATCATAAAAATTTTCTTCCTCAACAATATGAGCAATAGCGGTTTCTATAGTATCGGGGTTTTTAATTCTAATAGTATGTTGTAAAAGTCCTGTCAAATTTCTAATTAAAGTTCTAAGTGACATTTGGTCATATTGTCTACGATAAATTTCTTTAGTATTAGCATTCATTTCTTGTTCCGAAAAACTATTTACTCTTTCGATCAATTAGCTTCTTAAAACCTGTAGTCTTTTTGCGAATTCTAGAATAGGTTCATGTTTTAATGGTTTAGCCATTAACAGATCCTGCTCTAGGCATTCTAAAGATCTCTTGTCTCCAAAACTTTGTTCTAGAGCGTTCTTTAATAAATTCCAATTATTTAATTCTGTTCTCCTACTAACTAATTGACGTGTACTACCTACTAACTTTGAACGAATCACTCTAAAAATATAATTATGTAAAACTACATCGCGAATATTATCATATGAATCTACTAAAAATTGACAATCTCCAATAAACTGCATTAGTGCAGATGGATTACCATCGTAAGTCTGAATTAGATCTACGGTTAACTTAAGCATTTGCATATTAATTTCATTATTTTGATTTTGAGCTATTTCGTTATTTATTAAATTGTTTTCTTCGCAAGTTTCGTTAATTCGTACTAGATTATTAAAATTAGCAATCAATTCTTCTATTTCAAAATTCATTCACTTAACCTATAGTAGAATAAATCTTCTAACCAGGAAAATTTACCTATCTTAACTAAACTAAGGATAATGCAATAGGAAAACTCGGTACTTACCAGTAGTTATCCCTGCGGTGATTCTGCTACCAACTTCTGAAGGGGGCCAGCGGTTTCCGGGTAGGTTTGGTTGCCAAAGAGTTAAAACTCACGTTCAATTGGAATCGGTCTCGATGCCGTGGCTTCACAAAATCGAACTGCGAACTATCCTACTGACTGTGCCAGTTAAGTTATTTTAGTATTAAAACTTATTTTTAAAAACAAAACTTTATTTTTATTGTACAACGGAATAGTGGTTTACTCGACAGAGGTTAAAGCAAGAATGAATCTAATGTTAACAAGAATTATCTACATGAAATATGATATCTGTACAACGTCACTATTATTTATGTGATATGGCAAAATGTCTTTATATAACTGGCCAGGGAAAACGAAAGCCAAGGAAACGTCAATGTACTTCTGTCCTAAACTCTACTCCAAACTTGGAAGAGGCCAAAGAAAAAAACAATCCGAAACTAAAGATCCCAGAAAAGATAAAAAGGGTGGTAACAAGAAAAGTTCTTGCAGAATTAGAGTCAGAAACAGAAAAATAACCTTTTTTTGAAGATGAAGAAGACGATTGTGCTTGCATTTATTACACAGAATTGTACAAATTTTCCAAAAAAGGTGAGCTGTGGCTATGTTGTTGTTCGTGTAAAAAGTGGGCGCATGCCGACTGTGCCGGGGTGGACAAAAAAACAAAAATATTTGTTTGTGAGCTTTGTACCGTCTAAAAGTATATTAAACAGTATTGTGTCATGTTTCCCTCCGGGTGGAGTAAAATGAATTTTTCTTGTTTATTTTTATTTCTTTGACTAAAAGTCCATATTTTATATTTTTAAGTTAAAGTATCTTTTGAATTGTTGCAAAAGGGTTGCTATATGTGTTTTTCAAGATTTGTTAAAAAAAAGCTATTTTTTAATTACATTTTTATAGTTCTATAAAACGTGTGTCATTATGTAAACCCTTCCCCTACTATTATAGACAACAAAAAAGATGAACTGTTATTTTAAATTTTTAAAATGAGGTTAATAATATGTATAACGACAAGAACCCTAATGTCAAAACTTCAGGTTTGTAATAAGTCTTATTTTAGCATGGATTTATTTGCTTATAATCACGTTGTCACTATATTAGTGGCGTTATAGAAATTTGCAATATATCTCTAGTGTCCACCCAAAAGCAGTAAATTAAGGTTTTAGAATGGCACTCATGTACTAGAAGGGAAAGGTCCAATGCTATATAGTCATAAAGACTACTTACTACATTCATATATAAATCAGACGATCAAAGGCACTATCGTGCTCTATTTCTCTACGAATATAAGCTCAGTCGCTTTTCATAATGGCTTTTCATGATGTAGTTTTTAGTTTGTACACTAGACCCTTCGAGCATAATATATAACCTCTTTTATTATCTCTATCTGTATCACTGTATCATTTCTTTCTCTTTCTCTCACTTTCTCCCACTTTCTCACTCTCTCACTCATCAAGAAAGTAGACAGTAACCCGAAACAATTTTTTTTAATCAAAATCTAAGGTAAGATTATGTGAGATCATCACAATGTCGCTACACAAATCTTACGTGTTTTATGCTGGGCTGCCGAAACAACTAGTTTTTTTTTACCCACACCATTTCTATTATAAGCGGGACCATCTGGAAGTACTACACACTTATATTTTCCTTTAGTTCCTGTTGTAACATTAACTAATTTCACTTTATCAACAGAACTTGCAGAAATCTACGGAAAAAAGCTTTTAATCAAACAAGTGCTGTCGTAAAGATATGTCCATTGCTTTTTAATATCTGTAAAATATTTTTTATAAGTGGATGATATAAAAATTTTTAGAACAATTTCTATAAAGAACGTACTCTTAAAATTGATAAATATATGATAAAATGGCAGAAAACTTACATCTACATTTATATTTTTCAAAGGAAATGTTTTTATTTGTGGTTGTTCGTGCTTGGTGTACCTAAAAAATTCCGATTGGCCTCTATACCATTTGATAGCAAATAAAATATCGCCTTCTAAATCGTATTGACATGTAAGCTCGACGTCATTGCCTTCAACTACTTTTTCAGGAATGTATTCAACGATGACGTTTTTTACTGCAATGCATTCTTTAAGACCTACAAAACAGTTTATAGAAAATTATTTTAGATACTGGATGTTATTTCGATCTAGATTCTTAAAAATGTACATTCGTAAATCACTATTATCAAGAAATTATCTTTTTTTTTTTGGCCATACCCTATAAACTTTTCTCCTTCAAATTATGTTTAAATTGATCGTTTTTTTAATTATTATACTCACCAGTTATTAAAGCCAGCAATATTAATAAACGTATCATTTTAAAAGTGCGATAGTTATGACAATACTTTACAAAATAAGCACATCAAAGATATATCCATGTACTAATTAGATAAAAATGTAAATAACATAAAGGTTGGAGGTTACTAATAACAAAATTGTTAAAAGATTGTGTTTAACTTTAATAAATTGGAAATTTAGAAAATTGGAGTAATAAGGTTACATGCCACATTATGTAAGTTTTGAGAAAATTGAGTTTCAAATTTGTTTTATATCTGTCAAATACAAATAAAAAAATTATTGAAATATAGATATTACAAACAATAGAATATAAGGGACAATATTTAAAAAACAGTTGAAAAAAATTGAATTTATTTCAAAAAAAAAATGAGGCTTACGTCCTTGTTACATAAAAATATTATAATCCTTACTATATAGTGAGTCATGTCGCATGTCATGCGACCACTAATAGTAGCCCAAGAGCCCACTGCAAATTTTTACCGTCATCTGATAACGAAATGAAATATACCCCAAAAGCATGTAAAAACATTGTACTTTACCAAATGGCACCTGTGCCAATCCCAATCCTGAGCAAAGTGGCTTAAAAAAATTATTTTATTTTAAAAAATCACATAAAGCATGACAGCGCTAATTTTGTTTGCCCTTAAAGTTTTCCAGAAAATATTATTCAAATATATCTCGATATACAGTATGGTTAAAATGAAAGGAATAAATTTATTATAATGGAAGTAGTTGGTTTTTCGAAAAAATGCTCGGACAAGTCAATTTTGTTTACTCAAAGCGCAATTTTTTAAATAGAATTCAATTTTCCCCCACTTTCCGTTTTTGGGCAGTGACGTCATTGACAATTTTTGTTTTTCTTGATTTTGAAAGATCTTGCAATTTCCTACTCGGAAACATAATATTTGAAATATCGGACATAAAAATTTTTTTGAATAAAAGTCATTTAAAGATCAGATACATAAATTTTATTTTATTTTGAAACATAATAAATGAATAAAAGATTTTTTGTAATTAAGTGCTTCATCTAAAAAAATAATAATAATAATAATAATAATAATAATAATTTAATGACAAATTCTTTTTTATTATTATTATTATTATTATTATTATTATTATTATTATTATTATTATTATTATTATTATTATTATTATTATTATTATTATTATTATTATTATTATTATTATTATTATTAATTATTATTATTATTATTATTATTATTATTATTATTATTATTATTATTATTATTATTATTATTATTATTATTATTATTATTATTATTATTATTATTATTATTATTATTATTATTATTATTATTATTATTATTATTATTATTATTATTATTATTATTATTATTATTATTATTATTATTATTATTATTATTATTTATTATTATTATTATTATTATTATTATTATTATTATTATTATTATTATTATTATTATTATTATTATTATTATTATTATTATTATTATTATTATTATTATTATTATTATTATTATTATTATTATTATTATTATTATTATTATTATTATTATTATTATTATTATTATTATTATTATTATTATTATTATTATTATTATTATTATTATTATTATTATTATTATTATTATTATTATTATTATTATTATTATTATTATTATTATTATTATTATTATTATTATTATTATTATTATTATTATTATTATTATTATTATTATTATTATTATTATTATTATTATTATTATTATTATTATTATTATTATTATTATTATTATTATTATTATTATTATTATTATTATTATTATTATTATTATTATTATTATTATTATTATTATTATTATTATTATTATTATTATTATTATTATTATTATTATTATTATTATTATTATTATTATTATTATTATTATTATTATTATTATTATTATTATTATTATTATTATTATTGTTATTATTATTATTATTATTGTTATTATTATTATTATTATTATTATTATTATTATTATTATTATTATTATTATTATTATTATTATTATTATTATTATTATTATTATTATTATTATTATTATTATTATTATTATTATTATTATTATTATTATTATTATTATTATTATTATTATTATTATTATTATTATTATTATTATTATTATTATTATTATTATTATTATTATTATTATTATTATTATTATTATTATTATTATTATTATTATTATTATTATTATTATTATTATTATTATTATTATTATTATTATTATTATTATTATTATTATTATTATTATTATTATTATTATTATTATTATTATTATTATTATTATTATTATTATTATTATTATTATTATTATTATTATTATTATTATTATTGTTATTATTATTATTATTATTATTATTATTATTATTATTATTATTATTATTATTATTATTATTATTATTATTATTATTATTATTATTATTATTATTATTATTATTATTATTATTTATTATTATTATTATTATTATTATTATTATTATTATTATTATTATTATTATTATTATTATTATTATTATTATTATTATTATTATTATTATTATTATTATTATTATTATTATTATTATTATTATTATTATTATTATTATTATTATTA